AAATGCTTGTCAAAAACATGACTAAAGTACAGAAACATGATTTGGCTGATAGATTGGGTATTCAAATTACGAATAAAATAAGATATTTAGGAATACAATTAACTGCTAGATGCATTACATTAAAGAGAGATAATTACGACAAATTAGTTGAACAAATCAAAGCTGATTTAGATATTTGGACCAACTTACAACTTTCTTTTATGGGCAGAATAGCAGTAATTAAAATGAATGTGTTGCCGGAAATTTTACTTTTGTTTCAATGCATACCCATAAAATTGGACAAGAATTTTTTTCAAAATCTTAATAAAATTGTTCTCAAATTTATTTGGCAGGGAAGGAAGGCAAGGATTAGATTAAAATTACTGCAGGATTCAAAAGAAAGGGGGGGGGGTTGGCCTCCCTGATAATGGAAAAATTGAGGCACTATTGAATGAAATGTGGATGAAGAAAGGAGTTTGAAAGAAAAACTTGAAAATGACACTGAACTTCAGAAAAATCAGCTGAATATACTTGGATATCAACTTGGTCTGCACTCTTACAAGGTTTTTTTTTTTTTTAAGTAAAATTTTATTAATTTTTATAATTAAACAATAAGTAATATGATGCATTTGTATACAGAAACAAAAAAACACACAATCCAAATCAATACATTATCGGAAACGCTCGGCAGTCCCCGCCTTGCCTCCGCCCTCATCCACTTTCCTTTCCTTCCTCCCTCTAGTCCACAACCTCTCTTCCTTCCTCCTTCCCACTTCTACATCCCCTCTTTTCCTGACCACCTCCTCGAGTGCAATTTCGGATACCAGCCGAGCATCTCCTCTTATCAGTACAATTATTATTTACCTATAGCATATGAATACATCAATTTTTTAATACCCCTAATCCCCTTCACCCCCCTGAGCTTCCCGGAACCAAATACAGGATTGAAACACATCATTCCAAATCTAAATTACAATTTAACTAAACAAATATAATGCTATCAGTATATATCTACTTTAACTCTAATAAGACAATAATTAAAAACCAATATATCTACTCAAAAACTATATGACATTTAATCACTCCATACTTTCTCTAAATATAATCTATCCACCTTCAACATTTAAGCTTTACATAAATTTTTTCTTACATTTTACACTTAAATTTTCCCTTCACTTTCTTCCCTCTCAAGTCTATACTTTCAATAAAATCTTAAGTCAATACTTCCTGCTTCACAGCTGGAAAAATAAAATAAAATCCCAATCTTAATTTTTTACATTTTTCAAAAGAAAAAAACAAAACAAAAAACTATCAGTTCTTTACAAACATATAATAAACTAA